CTTAATTCTTCTTGGATCAACTATCAGCACTCATGGAAGCAGCAGTCAAGAAATCAAACAACGTATTGCATCAGGCATATCTGCTGCACAAGACCTTTTGAAAGTGTTGAAGAACAAAGATGTCAGCTTGAAGACTAAGCTGTGCCTGACCCAAGCCATGTAATTTTCAGTAACCTCATATGCATGCGAAGGAAGACCATAGAAGAATTGATGCCTTTGAGTTATGGTGTTGGAGGAGAATATTGAAAGTGCCATGGGCTGCTGCCAAAAGAACCAATAGATCCATTTTGGACAAAGTGCAGCCAGAATGTGCGTTGGAGGCCAGGATGGTCAAACTTCGTCTCTCATACTTCAGACATATTGTCAGGAGGGAGCAGTTGCTGGAGAAGGATATTATGTTTGATAAGGTGGAGGGTCAGAGAAAAAGATGAAGACCCCCCCAACAAGATGGATTGGCCACGTTGCAGCATCGATGGACTCAAACATGGCAACAGTAATGAGGGTGGCCCAGGATTGGGCAGTGTTTCGTTCTGCTGTGCATAAGGTCCCTATGGGTCGGTACCGACTTAATTGCACCTAACAACAGCAACAAACACCAACAAATGTCATCATGTTAAATATATAAAAGATTTAAACCTTCAAATACTTTGTTTTGCTTGGCTCCACAATCAATACTCATGAGAACAGCAGCCAAGAAATGAAGTGATGTATTGGATTGGGTGCTTCTGACTCAAGCTATGGTATTTTCAATCATATCATATGTATGCAGAAGTTGGGCACTGCATAAGGAAGATCAAAGAAGAATTGATGCGTTTGAGTTAGGATGTTGGAGAAGAATATTGAAGCACCATGAGACTGCCAGAATAACAAATCTGTGTTGGAAGAAGTACAGCCAGAATGCTCCTTAGAGCCAGGATGGTGAGATTTGGTTCTCATAATTTGGACATATTATCAGTAAGGAGCAGTTGGTGGAGAAGGATATCATTCTTGATAAAGTAGAGGGTCAGCAAAAAAGAGGAAGACCCACCCCCCAAAAGAAGTGGATTGTAGTAGCAATGTACTTAAATGGAGCAACAAACAATTGAGGTTTGTGTAGGACTGGACAGCGATACCATAGGGTTGCTATGATTTGGATCTGACTTGACTGAACCTGACAAATACAGCAAAGAAAGCTAGAGTTACTGTTAATCAAATTTGCATCTTGCATTGACTGGTTCTGAGCTTTGATTAGAAGCCCTGGTATCACCGTGGCTTAAGCATTGGGCTGTTAACCCTAAGGCTAGCTTCAAACCCACCAACAGCTCTTCAGAAGAAAGATGAGGCAGTGTGCTCATCAAATTGTTGTTATTGTTAAGTGTTGCTCATTTAGTCCTATTGCATCGTGACCCTGCATAGGGTTTCCGAAGAGTGACTGTTGGAGTTTGATTAATTACAGACTCTCAAACGCTATGGAGTGGTTCTACTCTGTCCTATCAGGTTGCTAGGAATCAGAATCCACTCCTCGGCAGTGGATTTCGGTTTTTAGGAGACATCACGTGTTTTATTTCACTTCAGTATGTTATTGTTGTTAAGTGTCTTCGAGTTGGTACGGACTCATAAAGACCCTATGTAAGGTTTCCGAGGAACAGCTGGTGGCTTTGAACCTCCAAACTTGTGGTTTGCAGTCCAGCGCTGATCCTGCTGCACCACACCAAGAGTCCAATATACCCAACCTTGGTTTAGAAATCCTTTGTTAGGTGGGACGGAGAGGGAGAGGTAAAATCATTCTGTAATTCTTCGCCTTTTTTCTGTGAATTAAAAGTAGACTTAAAGGGCAGTAAATACCTGTCTGGACAGACTCTCTGGCCCAGACAGGCCCTGGGGAATGGGTGGGAAAGGCAGATCCCCCTGTGCAGTTGAACCAAGGGCGGGCAGGCAGGCGGGTGGGAGGGCAGGAGGGCTGGCAGACAGGCGCTAAGAGGCTGACTGGCCTATTGCCAAATTTTCAGTGTCTGGGTTATAAAATCTGGCCTCTGGCAGGCGGGAGATAGAAAGTCCTGCATTAGCAGAGGTCGGGTGCCTGGAAAAACCACTCACAGAAAGAAGGAAGGAAGGTGGGTGGGGGTGGGGCGCAGGCCAAGGTTTGGAGGAGGGGGCGCGGGTGGCCACGCTGCCTGCCCAGCCCACTTGGCCTGGCAGCGCGCCCCAGCCAGTGCACGGCGAGGGAAGAGCGCCTGTGCAGCGGCAGAAGGTGTACTGCAACACTCAGAAATCTGGCCTTTGAGGGGCGCCAGGATCTGGAGTGGGACGGAGTGCCGGGCGTTTAGCGAGCAGCCGCGCCCAAGGGCTGCGCAGACTCGGAGGGGAGCGCCCCTGGCCGCTCCGCTGGAGTCTCGCGGTTCTCGGGCCCGGCTCGGCTATTTGCGGAGGGCTAGTGGGACTGGGGGCGTAGGGCTGGGCCGGCAGGGAGTTGAACCTCCCAGAGTTGGTGGGCGCCTGCCCACCAGCTGGCAGCGTGGAGCCCGCGCAGGGTGTCCCCGCCCAGTAGCGCCCAGGCCTCATGGCGCAGAGTGGGTCCCGGGAAACGCGAGCCAAGACCTGGGGCTGATTGTGATTGGGTAAGTCCTGATCTGGAAAGTGGGGTGGGATCACTAGAGACGCTCGATTTTGTCTTGTCATAATATTTGCAGGATGTACCGCGTTGACTGTTTTTTGCCTGCAAACCAGATTACATGTGGTCTGTGTTTATGTACATGCATTCATGGATTCTTGAGTGCTGACATCATCAGGCCTTGCCTCAAGTGAAGTTACTCATTTACTCTGAGAAGTGTTCACAGTATCTAAGATGACTTCGCCATATGTCCCGAGAACCTCAATTGCTTGCGGGACATGCTCTAAAGTAAGGTCAATGTTAGTGCTTTATATGGAAACGAGCAGCATGTTGATGGTCATGCCTGAGTGTTCTGGGACCCGTGTGCTACACAGTCCAGAAAATCTTCCTTCATTTGAGCCACTTCTGGTTACAGTGCTCATTTCAAAGAATCAGGGCTTCCTTTCAAGGTTTTTAGTCCAGGGTACCTGGAGTTTTCAAGCAGAAATACAGTTTTGTAAACTGTAGTCACTGTTTCTCATTTGAATTGGTAGAGAGCAAAGTGGGTTAATAATTACCAAAAGACAATAGAAAGTTTTAAAACGATAATCAATCTATTTCTTTGACAAATGGAACGAGTGGTTCATGCAGAGTCCAGGCTCCATGCGCTCGAAAAATAGCAAGATGTACTTCATCGGTCACAAGAAAGGGAACTATCCCCAAGTGAACAGCTGGAAGTGTGCCTGCATGAAACTTTAAATGTCCTCTTAAATTTAATACAGATTTACATGAACTTGTATGACGCTAATTTATGTCTATGTTATTTGTAAAATAAGTTTAATAGACGTTACCACATCGACATTTTTATGCAGTAGTTATAGGATCCATTCTATACATTGTGGATGCTTTCTTAGACTGACTAGAATTTAGAAGAGTTGATAATTGACAGGGAATTAAATATGTTCAACGTAATACATGAAATGATAGTATAATGCTTAGTCAGAAAATAGTGAAGTCAAAGGACCAAAAGAAGATGTTAAAAAATACAAATGGTAATTTTGTAGGTTATGTTCTAAACTCATAATGTCAGTGACTTGTGGTTCTTGAAGAGACATGCAGGTCAGGTGGTCTGTGTCCCAGGTCTGTGTCCCAGGACTAGCTCCGCCCCTAATGTCTTTGTGATCTTGGCTACCATTGAGCTTTGGGGCCCCATTTCTTCTTCTCAGTGTTTTTGGAATTACTCTGAATTCTCTGGAAAAATTTAAATGGTATTATACTGGACCCTGAAGACCAACAAGATCCACAAAATAAAGAGACTTTGAAGCAGGTAGAGGGAGGGATATATAGGAGGAAAAAGATGGGAAATAGTATGGAAATTGGTGGCATTTTAAGGCATCTGTTTTATAGTAATTTCTTTGATTACTTAAGAGCATTCCATTTCCCTGCCTGCATTTTCAAGACTTGTCCTCAATTACACTTTGAAGTGAGTGCACATGCCGATCTTGGAAGGAATGTGATATAATGTAATCATGCCTTTTGGGAAAAAAATTTTTTTTTCTTCTAAGTTGAAAATACCCTCACCCCTCTCGGAATAAGGGTAAATTTTCTGTAGGAAGAAATTATAGCTCATTGGGGGGGGGGAAAAACAAACAGCTGACTTGGATCTTATTTGTGAATTTCGTTTTCAAGTTTTATGAATAGAGGAGCAGATGAGCAGATAGGGGTAAGAAAAGTGTGAATGAGTGAAGCAGAGACCCCATGCAGTTGTCAAAGTCATACTCAGGCATTTCAGCTGCTCTAGGAAGTTGTTGTTGTTAAGTGCTGTTGAGTAGGTTCTGACTCATAGCAACCCTGTATGGGGTTTCCGAGGAGCAGCTGGTGGGTTTCAACTGCTGACACTGTGTTTTGTAGTCCAGTGGCTGCAAGGTAGATTTGAACCACACGGGTGGTGGTTCAAACTCACCAGCTGCTCCTTGAAAAGCTATACTAAGTCTCTATGAGTCGGAACCGACTGGGTGGCACTCAGCAACAGCATGAAGAGCTGTGTGTTTTTATGGTTGCTTAAAGGATACCTCTCCAGAAATGTCTTGAATTTTGGGAATATTTTATTACCTGTTTATAATATATTCTTTTTATATTAAGCATTAATGTTTAGAGTAATTATAGAGCAAAAACATGTTCTGTATTTGATTCACTAATCTAATGTTTGCTTATTCTTTCAACAAACACTGAGCATGTCATATATGTAAAGCATTGCTTTAGGTGTTATATTAGAAAGTAATTGGTTGTCAAGATGATTAAAATAAAATGTTAAAGTGCAAAAAAAAAAAAGCTATATAATATAAAAAAACAATGTTGTAGTTGTTACGTGCCACTGAATCGGTTCCAACTCATAACGATCCAGTATTGGGCTTCCGAGGAGCAGCTGATGGCTTTGAACCACCAACCTTGTGGTAAGCAGTCCACTGCTTATCCTACAGTGTCACACAAAGACTCCCCCAAAACAATGGAGCTATTATAATGGCAAAAATCCAAAACACTTATGACTCGAAATGCTGACGATTGGGTTTAGCCACTTTGGGAGACAGTCTGGCAGTTTTGTACTAAACATAGGCTTACTGCATGATTCGGCATAGTGATTATGAGTTGGGCTACTAACCTCAAAGTCAGCAAGCAGTTCGAAACTCTCAGATGTTTCACGAGAGAAAGAAGAGGTTTCTGCTTCTGTAAAGATTTGCAACCTCGGAAACCTCATCATGCATGTTTGCTATGTGTCAGACCTGACTCCACGGCTCACGACTGCCACCACGATCACATTTTGTATGATACAGTAATGGTGGGCACATGACATTATGATGAGTGTGTCTAAATCAGTTAACACATGTAGTGACCCAAAACACTAATGAATGTATAACACAATTGTGAACCCCAAAACTATGAACTTTATTAATAATACTATAACAATACTGGTTCATCAATTGTAACAAATGAACTACAGGGATGGGAGATGCTAGTGGAGAGACAGCATGCTGGGATGGGGATGGATATATGAAACCGTTCTGTACTTTCTGTGTAATTTTTCTATAAACCTAAAACAGCTCTAGAAACTAAAGCATACTGAAACAGATAAAAAGCCATGGAAAGAAGAAAGTAAAAACATGGTGGTGGCTGTTGTTGTTTGCTGTCGAGTCGGTTCCGACCCATAGCGACCCTGTATAGGGTTTTCGAGGAGCAGCTGGTGAGCTTGAACCACCGACCTTGCAGTTCAAACGGCTTTGCAGTCTGGTGCATTAACCCACAGCGCCACACCAGGACTCTGAGAAAAGCATGTAGAGCGCACTAGTCTCATAGAGAAATATTATGTTAATAATATCAGTAACCAAGATAACCCTAATTTATCTAACACTGATTATGTAGTAAGTACTATGGTGGTGGTTATGTGCCATGGAGTCTGTTCCAACTCTTAGCGACCCGAGGCCCCGCAGAATAGCTGGCAGTTTCGACTGACCTTGCAGTTCGCAGCCGGATTCGTAACCACTACGCTGCCAGAGCTCCTTAGTAAGACTATAGGCCTTTACATACTTTGTTTATATTCATTCTTACATCCAACAAAGTTGACAGTATTGTCATTGTTTGAAAGGTGTGGAAATAGAGTTTCGGAGAGAAGAAATAACTCACTCAAAGCTCACAGCCAATCATCATCAGTTCTAGAGTCTCATCTCTTTTTGCTATGTAGATATTACACAGCAACTATATTTTAGCGAGTTCGAAACTACCAGCTGTTCCGTGGGAGAAGGATGAGGCTTTCTGCCCCTGTAAAGATTTACAGCCTCGGAAACCCTGTACAAGGTTTCCGTGGTCGGAATAGACTCAACAGCGCTTAACAACAACAACATATTTTAGTGAACTCACTGTTGGCCCAGGATCGGGTAGTGTTTCGTTCTGCTGTGCATAAGGTCGCTATGAGTCGGTACCACCTTGATGATACTTAACAACAACAACTGTTGGCCCTGAATTACAAAATTATTTCCTAATCACAAACAGATTAATCATATACTAGTCATATACTGTGGAGTCCTGGTGTGGCGCTGTGGACTAATGCATCAGACTGCAAAGTCGTTTGAACTGCAAGGTCGGTGGTTCAAGCTCACCAGCTGCTCCTAGGGAACCCAATACAGGGTCGCTGTAGGTCGGAATCAACTCAATGGCACTTAACAACAACAAGTCATAGACTAGGATGGGTTTCTTTCTTTTTTTGAACTTTTTATTGTAAATTGAGTAAGAGCTTACTGAGCATATCATCAACTTTACATTAAACAAATCTTAGATTGTGTTTCATATCAATGAACACAATCCCCTCCATGTAACAAGTTATCCTGCTTCCTCCCTGTGGTTCTTATTTCCATGCTACCGTCCTTCCCAGCCCTTCTCAACTTTGCCCTTAGGTAAATATCTTTTGATTCCGAATTGTTGACCATTCCATGGTGAGTATACCTTAGTAGTGCTGTTGTTCCCCTTATATACCTGGCTACTACTTGCCTGAAAATTGGGCCAGGAGGGTAAGTTCCATTCCAGATCTGAAGGGTGGTCAAGGGCCATAGTCCTGGGTTCCTCCAGTCCCTTTTTGACCAGTAAACTCAGTCTTTTTTCTTTTTTATAACTTTCAGTTTTATTCCATATTTTCCCCATTCTGTCGGGAACGTATAATGTGATCCCTTTCAAAGAAGTTGGTGGTGGTAGCTAATCACCATCTAGTTCTTCTGGTCTCAGAGTCATGGAGACCGATGTTCACATGCTCAGTATGTTAATGTTCAAACTTCTTAACGTTCAAAGCATATCTACTTGATGTAATTTTTAGTTGATTATCTTTCTTTGTCACAAGTAGTTTTATGCTTACCTAAAACAGTTATTGTTGATCACATGTAAATTACCTATTATTGATAGTTTAAAATAATCAAATAGGGTTAACAGTAAAGAAATTTATTAGCATGAAAACTCTTCCTATATTTCTTTCTGTTAGACCATTTCTCTAACATATTTAGCCTCAAAATTGCCTATATTTACTTAACACATTTAAGTAATAAAAAGAAGGAAAATCGTATATTTCTATTATTCTTGTACAAGATACATCTAGGTAAGGCAGATATGTCTTAATAATTAACTTCTTTTTTTAAAAAATTCTTGTTTTTATGGAGTATTGTTATTAAGTGCCATCGAGTCAATTCTAACTCAGCAACACTACAGAAGGTTTCCAAAGCTTCAAATCTTCTCAAGAGCAAAAAATCTCATCCTTCTTCCACTTATAGTGTACTGTTGTTAAGTGCCATCGAGTCAGTTCTGACCCTGTATAGGGTTTACAAGGAGCAGGTGGTGAGCTTGAACCGGCGACCTTGCAGTTCAAACCAACTTTGCAGTCCAGCGCATTAACTCACAGCACCACACCAGTACTCCTACTGAGTACTATAGGTATATAATTAATTAGACACAGAGTTTATTCTCTTGTGTTAATAGTTTATAAAACTCCCATTTAGATGAAGAAATACAAGTGTTGAAAATTAGATATCATTATGCATTCTGATTGAAAGCAAAAGCAAACCTTTTTTTTTTTAATTTCAAGACAGTGTGATGTCTTTCTTAGAAACACTTGAAGTTTAATTTATTTTTTCTAATATGTTACCTTTTTATAAATTAATACATGTTTTGTTCTTTTAGAAAATGTATCTCTTAAAGTAGAAACTGTTTACTGTTAGACATTAGGAAGGTGTTACACAGCTAACAGGAGTATTATAAGAGGTTCATTGAAAGGACATTTTAATGATTAACACTAACTGATGAGACTAGCCAGGTTTATCATTTATTTTAATTTAGAGATTTCTTCTTAGTTATCCATTACTTTTAATATGTTAAAATTCTCTAAAGCTTCAGAGACACACCAAACAATACAAACTAAAGTGTGTTTGTTTGATATTCGTGTGGCTTCAGTCATTTCTAAACACATTGCATGTGTTTAGTAATTCATAGGAATTTGATTTATTTCAGAATTCATATGAGACTAAATAATTTTTTAACAGGAGAATTGTTTGAGTTTAGTAATAACAAAGTACAAGGGGTGCCTGGTTACAGGACAAGTGGGAGCCAAAATCCTGCTTGTATTTTACTAGCCAAGCCTCATGCCTTGGAGGGAAGCCATGTCTATCTAGTGTTTTGCACAACTTTCCCTTCTCTGACTAAATTGTACACCATTTTACAAAAATTCTTTCATGCTTTGCTATCAGTTACATGAAGGTGCATGTAAGTTCATGACAACCTTGGTTTAAGAAAAATAGAGATGACAAGATCATAAGGTAAGGTTCAGTTTCTTGATTATAAAGGTGTTGTGTGTGTGTGGTACCAGTGCACTACATGTTCACAATACATGTGTGTGGAAGGTGGTGTATGTGTGCTTTGTGTATGTGATGTGTGTGTGTCTGTATATTGTGTGTGTGTGTCCACTTAGGGTGACATGAGAGGAGAAGAGGAGCAACTTATACAAAAGGAAAATTTTAAAAGCATTAATGAATAAAATGATATCATTAGATTAGAGAGACTCTTCATATGTCATGTTATTTTATTTTTCAGAAAAGGACTGTCGAGAGGGTCCGGAAAACACAGTTTTACTGTTAAAAACAAGGAACATTTACCTATACATTTTACAAGAAATGTACAGAAAGCCATTGATAAATATACCTGGTAAGAATTAATCTGTTTAATAATTATGATTACAAAATTTCAAAAATACTCATAACGAATATAGAGGAAGACTTGGGGGTACAGTATTTAAAGCACTCTCCTGCTAACTAAAAGTTCATCCATTCAAACCCATCAACCTCTCTTGGGGAGGAAGATGCTACAGTCTGCTTCAGTAAAGAGATCATCTGTGGAAACTGTATCGGGCAGTTCTACTCTGTTCTGTAGGGTCCATATGGGTTGTAATCAAGTCTACAGCAGTGGGTAATATGGGAAGTACAATTAGTGATTGGCCATGAATTTCTAAAATTGAAAAATAATTTTATACTTAGTCTATTGGAAAGGATGCTTATAAATATTTATAAATTAGTGTACTGTGAAACTGACAGATGCATTTAAAAAAAGAAAGTAAACAGACTCAGAAAAGTAAGTTTCTAACCATATTGACACTTCCCAGTCAGTGTTACTCTTGTGCACATCTGTTTTTTCTGCAGTGAATCCGTGTCATCGTTTTCATCGAGCGGAACCGCCACCCCCACCGTGGCACACAACTCTTGGTCTGGGACCCAGAGTTCCACCACTGGCTTATCTACCGAAAGAAGCTCGGTTTACTCTTGGAGAGATGATGTATGTCCAGAAGGTTTTGGATAATCCCATGATTACAGCTTTTAATGAAGAATTGCATTCTTAATTTTTAAAATATTTTTAATAATCAGAAAAACAATATATTTTTATTGTTGAAAAATTTTAAAGGAAGAATATGTAAAAGGGAAAACATTTCTCATGTGGTAGGAATGACTTCTTTTCAACAGTTAAAGTAGCTGAGGATTGGAAGAGTAGAAATCTGAGCACTGATGTATCTGTTTGCAAAGCCAACATTCTGTTTACCATGCCAATGTTGTTATTGTTGTTAAGTATCATCAATTCGGTTCCGACTCATAGCATCCTTGTGCAGGGGTTCCAAGAAGTGGCTGCTGAGTTTGAACTGCCAACCTTGTGGTTCAAACGGACCTTTCGGTACAGTGCTTATCCTATAGCACCACATCAGAATGCTTCTTCCTATAAAAGTGTCTACTTAAATGTCTAAGTGTCATTGATTGTGAAGCCCATATTTCTACAATTTTGAGTCTTGTGGCTAAATATACTTTTCTGTTTTTAGGAGTTTGACAAAGGCAATGCACAGAAAGTGCAGCAGTTATTCTGGGAGGTTGAGGAAATGTTATTTGAAGGGAAAGTAAGCGCTCAGACACAGAATCTACTGGTGGAATGCAGTGAGTGGGCCAGAAGATCCCTCCACCTGAGGTAGGGAAATGATTAATAGGAATTCTCTGAAATGCATTTTGAACCATTCTCTGCTAATTTGGATTTATAATACATACATTTTGACTGAACTGAAAGCACCTGCCCAGTCAAAATATGCGTTTACAATAACTTTTACTGAGAAATCACATCCATTGTTATGGTGTTAGTTACCAAAACGTTGAAATATTCAAGACGTAAATCTATCATCATCCAAATGGCACTCCATATATAATGAATGCAAGAATGATAGAACGAATTCTTCACCTTACATTCACTCTAGCATGTAAGTGAATGCAAAGTGAAGAATTAATTCTTTCATTAATCAAGCACACATCAAGCAATGTGTTTCAGACTTCAGCAATAACAATTTGGGGCAGAATAATTGGATACGTAAGTCTTACATTCCTCATGTAGGGAGAATAATTTATGATCCTTGTGTAGGGAGATTCAACTTTTTTGCTACTAAAAATGGAGAACATAGATTTGGTATGAAGGGAAGGTTTTCTTCCTTCAGTGCCTTAAGCCAAACCTACTTAGGAGGAAATCCATCTCAGCTCTCTGAAGGTTCTCTGCTTCTATTTGGGTGGATGAATCCAAACACAAACAAATGTGGATTGGTTTTCTAGTTGGTTACTTCAACTACTTAACTGTTAATATTTTGAAGTGGATTTTTCTTGTTGCTTTCTTTTTAATCCTGCCATGAATTCCCTACTTTAAAGAATATAGCATGTTCCAAAGTTGTTCACTTGATAGTATTTGTGGATGCTTACTCTTCTAGGGACGGCGAACTTGCCAAAATGCCTGGAGCTACACCTGTCCCTGTTAGTGCTGTCTTACACAGTTAAGTTAAAAATGAAGGGATGAGAGTGGGCAAATATCACAAGGTACATAAGACCAATGTATATACGAATAACCTTTTCTTCATTATGAATAATATTTGCTAACATTTGTAGAGAGGTCAGACATGGACATACATTAACTTTAAATATGTCTTACCAAGTAACTGTTATTATTCCATTTTGCAGACAGAAACAAAATGAAAATAGTGACCTAGTGAAGCAAGGGATTTTGCTTAGAGCCAGTCAGTATTAGGAACAATGTGGGCACCAGGCGTGTCCCCCTCTTAGAACTATTTAAAGTTTTTGATTTATTTTTCTAATTTGTCACCTTTCTTTGTGATCCCATATGCTTCTCATGACCCAGTACCCACCTTTTCACTTCACCCACACGTTATCAGAATCTTCATTTTATCCTGCTGTTAAAATCTTGAAACATCTTTCCACTTTTCCAGTCAAAAAAGTGAGTTTTCTATTTTTTGTCCTGCAGAGTATTAGGAAGACAGCTCATCTTGCCAACTGATGAAGGCTTCCAGCATTTTCAGGGCAGAGTATCCAGTTCTGTAGACCACAAACCCTCACGCGAGGCCTGTGAACGCAACAGCAACAGAGAGTATGTCTGCATAAAATACTTGTGAATAGTGTTTTTAGCTGTATTTAGTTATGATTTCTCATTTTTGTCTTATCCATGAGCCTTGTCTCCACCTATTTGGACATTTAGATTTGAATGAGGAGCAGTTACAGAGCATTTTGATCATAAGCTACTTCTAATTTGAAATTTTTCATATAAATAATACATATGAATGTACACAGTGCATACATAATGAAAAGCAAAACAAAACGCATTGCTGTCCAGTCAGTTCTAACTCGTAGAGACTCTATAGGACAGAGTAGAACTGCCCCATAGGGTTTCCAAGGCTGTAATTTTTACGAAACATCTTTCTCCATCAAAATGTGTTCAAACTTCTGACCTTTTGGTTAGCAGTTGACCACTTAACCATAAAATACACACACGATACAATACACACATATATGTATATATAGCCTCCTGCTATGGCACTGTGGGATCAGTAATGGACTGTGAACCACAAAGTCAGAAGTTCAAACCCACCAGCTACTCCTCAGAAACCCTATACAGGGTCACTATGAGTTGGAATTGATTTGACCGCACTTAGAAACAACATATATATAAATATATTTATTGACGTATATGTGTATATATTTACATGCAAAGAAGCTAACTTTGACTTCCATTCCAAAGTTAGCTACAAGCAGAAACTTGCTTGTGATGAATCCTCAGCCTCAAAGCAGTAGTGGAAAAATAAATAAGGGTCACTCCTGCTTTCTTTTGCTCTCTAACAGATTTTGATAAATCTCTCTTACTTTCATATTTGTTCCCTGATGTCCATCATGGAAGAGGATACAAGCTCATAGAATTTTAAGCCCTTAAGAAGTTTAGTGACACCTATGTCAAAATGTTGTTCTTAAGGATATAAGCTTTGTCCAGTGTACTATTTAATTTTTAATTAGGAATTCTGTAATGTTTGGAGAATTTAAAGATCAACCATGATCTTGATGGTCATTGGGAAGTTGTACAGCCTCCCACGTATAATCTGCTTCTCCCCATAGGCTGTGCATCTCCGGCTCTCACATTGTCCCAGCCACATTCTCATCACCTGCCCTGCTGGGGGCTGAGTGTGCAGGGAGCACTGGCCTGAGGACGTATTCACTTCTGGAAGAAGAGATTTACGATGTAGACGGAAAGATTGAAGAATATTTCGCTTTTGACGGAAAAGAAGAGTAAATAGATTTTGATTTGGTAGTAACTTACTAATGTTGTTGTTGTTAAGTGCTGTCGAGTCGATTCTGACCCATAGCAACCCTGTATAGGGTTTCCGAGGAGCAGCTGGTGAGCTTGAACTGCCGACCTTGCAGTTCAAATGGCTTTGCAGTCTGGCACGTTAAGACTTACTAATAGAAATGTCATATTCTTTGATTCGGAATTTATTTTTATTACATGCTCCTTGAGTGTATTATGTATTATTATTATTATTATTTTTTACGTATAGGAAAGTCTTTCCATTCCTTTGAGTACAATGTGCTCCCACATGTTTTCAGACTACCCGCAGGAAGTATATATTCTAAAACAGTGCTTCTTTCCCTTCTTCATAAAATGACACAAACAGAATGAGCGTATGTGATCACTATGGACGTTAATACAAGTGGGTCTCTCGTGCTCAGGGGCTCTGCCTGACCAAAGGGCACAGGGCACAGGGTCTCCACTGCTAAATGCGTATTTAGTTATAAACAGAAGCTCTGTTGACACGTCTTTGAAAATTAGTATATTAAAAATAATTAACAATTTTTTAACTTAAACAAGAATGCCATATATTTACATAGACATATAAATATGTATACATATGGAGTCCTGTTGTGGTGCTGTGGATTAATGCACTGGATTTCAAGATTAGCTTAAACCACAAGGTCAGTGCTACAAGCTCACCAGCCCCTTCTTGGAAACCTTATACAGGGTTGTCATGGGTTGGAACCTGCTTGAGGGCACTTAAAATAAACAACAGCATATATGTGTGTTCATGCATGCATGTTAGATAGCTAGATTGATGGTGTGGCTGTTGTGTGTCATTGAGTTGGCTCTGAGCCATAGTGACCTTGTATAAGATTTTCAAGGCTGCAAATCTTTACGGGAACAGAAAGCCTCATTTATGCTCCTGTGCAGTGGCTGGTAGATTTGAACTGCAGCCAACGTGTAAACTACCACACAACCAGGGCTCCTAGATTGATAGACAGCATTATTTTAACAATGACCAGTGATGTTTTAGTAATTTTCATGGGTCTTGATCCTTAGTGACAATGGATGTCTTGAGCAAAAAAATATTCAACGTGTTAGAAAGTGGCACAAACACGGACTTCCTCCCATTTCCCCTCATGACTGTATCAAAGATGCGGTGGCTGCAGAGGTGTTTGATCACGTCTGGCGAAATGTGGTAGAGCTAATGGAAGAGCTGGTCAGAAATCACTGGGAAACTACAATCACAGGTACTTATGTGTAGAATTTTGTATAATAAAACGACAGAAATAGACCCTTTTTATCAGCTTTGTGTCATCTTGTCTTGGCTTTACCCAGGACTTGATTGAAATGATAAAGGAAGTAGTTTTTCTGATTTAAAATTCACAAAGTGATCTTTAATCACTTCGAAGGAACATTATTGCTTTTTTGAATTAGAAAAAAATTCATATTCACTCTGGAAAAATATAAAAACCTATAAATCACTTCCCTCTTCTAGATATAATCATGTGAACATATCTCATAAGGTTCTAAATATATAGTTTAGCATGATTGTTAAGTTGTATATATCACTTTATAACCTACTCTCCTTGTTAAATAATGTAACATTTATTAAATAAATGTCTTTAAATAAGATCTTTAAAAATAGCTAAATAGTGTAGGAGCTTATTGCATTTTACCTAAGGAGTCCTGGTATGGACTGCAAGGCCAGTTTGAGCCATAAGTCAACAGTTCAAGCTCACCAGCAGTTCCTCAGAAACCTTATACAGAATTGCTGTGAGTTGGAAGTGACTTGATAACACTTAACAACAACAATCCCTATAATGAGGCATTCGTTTTTAATTGTTCTTGATAACCAATATTGTTATGAATAATACAAGCACTTTACTTACAGAATAAAATACACGCATAACTGATTTGAAAATCACTACATTTAAACGATAGTGTATTCTCTGTTCTTGTTGTTAAGTGCCTTCCAGTTGGTTCTGACTCGTAGCAACCCTGTATAGGGTTTCCAAGCTGGTAGGTTTGAACTGCCAAACTCATGGGTAGCAGTCTAATGCTTATCCTACAATACTACACCAGGGCTCAATTAAACAACTTGAAATTGAACAGAAACAAATCATACACGTATCAGTGGTGGATGTTAACACCTACTAATACATAAGGAAGGGATGGGGAACCTTTTCTCTGCCAAAATGAATAACAGCATTCATGGGCCATACAAAATTATCAACTTAAAAATTAGCCTGCAATATTTGATCAAACATTGAATTAACCCACAGGACTTCACAATACCAACAACAAACATGATGACTAGAATTCAGTTGCCTTGGGAGGACCAAAGCAACTTATTATGCAAGCATTATACAGCTCACCCACCACTCGTTTTTCCATTTGTGTACTGTGGTAGCTTGCATGTTACTGTGATTCTGGAAGCTGTGCCATGGGTATGTTAAATACCAGCAGGGTCACCAATGGTGGACCAGTTTCAGCTAAGCTTCCAGAGGAAGGCAGACTAGAAAGAAGGAAGGACGGACTACTTCTGAATATTTAGTTACTGAAAACCTTGTAGCACCAGATTATTGATTATTGAGACATGAGGAATATCACCAGAATATTGTCAGATATAGTGACAGAAGATGGGACCTCTCAGGTCGGAAGGCACTCAAAATATGACTGGGGAAGAGCTGCCTCCTCAAAGTAGAGTTGACCATGATGACACAAATGGAGTAAAGCCTTCGAGACCTTCATTTTCTGATGGGGTACAACTTAAAATGAAGACAAACAGTTGTAAACAGAATGATTATTATAATCAGAATATGGAATGTACAAAGTATGAACCTAGGAAAATTAGAAATTGTTGAAAATGAAATGGAATGCATAAACATCTATATCCTAGGCAGTAGTGAGCTGAAATGGACTGGTATTGGCCATTTTGAATCTGACAATCACGTGGTTTACTATGCTGGGAATGACAAAGAGGAATGGCGTCATATTCATCATCAAAAAAAGAACATATCCAGATTTATCTTCAAGTACAACGCTGTCTTGTAATCAGATAATATCAAATGAAGACCACCTAATATCACTATTATTCAAATTTACACCCCAACCACTAAAGCTAGTGATGACGAAATTGAAGAATTCTACCAACTTCTTCAGTCTGAAAATGATCAAACGTGTAATCAGGATGTATTGATAGTTACTGGTGATGTAAAAGTTGGGAGCAAAGAGGAAGGATCAGTAGTTGGAAAATATGACTTTGGTGATAAAAACAATGCTGGAGATTATATGATAGAATTTTATGAGACCAATGACTTCTTTATGGCAAATATGTTTTTAAAACAACATGAAAGATGACTAAACACATGGAATGCACCAGATGAAATACACAGAAATCAAACTGACTACATCTGTGGGTACAGACAGTGAAAAAGCTTCATATCATCAGCCAAGGGCAGATTGTGGAACAGATTATCAGTTGCTCATATGCAAGTGCAGACTGAAGCTGAAGGAAATTAAAACAAGTCCATGAGAGCCAAAATATGACCTTGAATATAACTCACCTGAATTTAGAGATCATGTGAAGGCAGATTTCATTCATTACACACTGGAGAGTGAAGACCATATCATTGTGATATGACATCAAGATCATTTTACAGGGAAAAAGCAGGAGGTCATTAGGAAGATAAGAAAGTAGGAAAAGACCAAAATTGATGTTGCAAGAGACTCTGAAACTTGCTTTCCAGCATACAGGTGCTAAAGCAAATGAAAGAAATGAGGAGGTAAAAGAGCTGAATAGAAAATTTCAAAGGACAACTCTAAAAGACAAAGTCAAATTTTATAATGAAATGTGCAAAGACCTGTAGTTAGAAAACCAAAAGGGAAGAACATGCTCAGCTTTTCTCAAGCTGAAGGAAGTGAAGAAAAAATTTAAGCTTCTACTTACAATTTTGAAGGATTCTATGGGCATAATATTGAATGATATAGAAAGCATCAAAAGAAAGATGGAAGAAATACTGTACCAAATGGAAATTGTCAATGTTCAACCATCTCAGGAGGTATCATTGATCAAGAGCCAATGAAATCCAAGGTGCATTGAAGGCATTGACAAAGAACAAAGCAGAGAACACCAGAAAGATGTTTACCTGTGCTTTATTGACTGCACAAAGACTTTCAGTTGTGTGGATCATGACAAGCTATGGACGACATTATGGAGAATGAGTATTCCAGAACACTTGATTATGCTGCTGAGGAACCTGTACAACAAGAGGCAGTTGTTCGAATAGTACTAGGGGATACTGAATGATTTAAAATTGAGACAGGTATGCGACAGGGTTGTATTCTTTCACCATACTCCTTCTGTATGCTGAGCACATAATAATGTGGAGAAACTGGATTATACGAAGAAGGATATGGCATCATTAACAAGCTGCAATATGCAGATGATACAATGCTTGCTGAAAGTAAAAAAGACTTAAAATACTTACTGATAAAAATCAAAGACCAGAGCCTTTTGTCTGGGTTGCAACTCAATGTAAAGAAAACAAAAATCCTCACCACTGGACCAATAAACAATATCCATATCAATAGAGAAAAGATTGAAGTTATCAAACACTTGATTTTGCTTGGATCAACCATCCACACTCATGGAAACAGCAGTCAAGAAATTAAATGACGTATTGCATTAGGCAAATCTGCTGCACAAGACATCTTTAAAGTGTTGAAGAGCAAAGATGTCAGTTTGAGAACTAAGGTACACCTGACTCAAGCCATGGTATTTTCAATAAACACATATACATGTGAACATTGGGCACTGAATTAGGAAGACTGTAGAAGAATTGATGTATTTGAGTTATGGTGTTGGAGGAGAATATTAAAAGTACCATGGACTAAAAGAACAAGCCAGTCTGTGTTTAAAGAAGTACAGCCAGAATTCTCCTTGGAACCCAATATGGCCAGACCTTACCTCTTAAGACTTAGGTTATATTGTCAGAAGGGACCAATCCCTGGAGAAGGACTTTATGCTTGATATAGTAGAGGTTTGGAGAAAAAGAGGAAGACCCTCAGCTAGATGGATTGTCACAGTGGCAGCAGCGATGGACTCAAACTTAATGATTATGAGGTTGGAATATGTCTGGACAGTGTTTTGTTCTGTTATGCACAGGGTCACTCTGAGTTGGCACCAACTCAATTGCACCTAACAACAGCATTCAGCTTATGGGCCAGACATTGCCTAATCTTGACATAAGGTAATAATCATGTTTAATTTAAATGTTATTGCTTTTCCAACCCCAAATTCTTGCTTGATTTTTCAGAAAATACCAAGAATCTTCATTGCCTCTGAATATAATTGCTGGTTTTATATATAACTTCTGAACCAACACCAGGGCACTTAATCTTAACACAACTGAAAAGTTAGGAATTCTGTCTTCTGAGGTCATTATTCAGGGAAATAACAGATAGGCAAATAAAATAAAGATTACTCATGAGTTCCACTTTAAAAATGTATCTATATGAGACTGAAAGATTAGCAATTATTTTAAGGCAAAGATGAGAAGACAAGGAGGATAGGGAAACCAGACTACTGGAAGTGAAGCAACCAGAACGCAATTAATGCTAATGTTGACACATTGTAAAAAATGTGCCTGTCACTGAGCAACTTGTATAGAAATTGTCAAGTGAGAACCTAATTTGTGTAAACATTCACCAAAAACACAGTGAATATATATTTTTTAAAAGATCATTCCCTTATATGCATGTGGAAAAACACATCTGTCTTTTGCATTGTGGATGGTAACTGAATAACAAATACTCTCCTTGAACAGTGAAAGTTGAGTAGATAAATTAGATGTATAACATGTTTATTAAATGTTTAATTCATATCTATTTTTATGCTTTCATGAAGGAAAAAAACAGAAAGCAAAATCAAAAGGACCTGAAAATAAATCTCAACACATGCTCATTTCTCGTTTTAACACTGATACATCAAGTGTTCCCCCATCCAGAAGTTCTGAAACTCGAAGTATATCCCTGGCTTCTCATCTTATTTCACCCCAGGTAGATGCTTTTTCACTTGTTTCTCTCTTTCTCTCACTCTATATTCCTTGTCTCAGTTATAAGAAGAATTGTTCTATTATGTTCTATTATAGGTGGGTCTGTTTGCTAAATAGACCAAAATTTAACATGATGATTTCATGAAGTCTAAAACAATCACTACATTCTTTAAAAGAACAGGAACTCTCAGATTTGAGATTCTCCACCTGTGTAGCATTTACTCATCATTTTTGGAAAGAAAAAAATTATTTCCCCCTAGTTAATTCCAATTTGAAGATAATAAATGCTTTACTTTCCTTCCACCAAACTAATAATCAGCCAATGTGTGTGTATGCTGTTGTCATTAAGCTCTGTTGAGTTGGTTCCAACTTACAGAGACACTGAATAGCGTTTTTGAGGAGCAGCTGGTGAGTTTGAACTGCTGACCTTGCGGTTAGCAGTCCAGTGATTAACCTACAGCGCCACATTTCTTTTGTTGTTGCTGTATGCCATGTAGTCCTTTCCAACTTTCTAGTGACCCTATATTTCCCTGTATAGGGTTTCCAAGAGTGGCTGGTGGATTTGAATTTCCCTCCTGTGGTGAGCATTCCAGTACTTATCCTACAGTGCCACACCAGGCCTCAAGCTTCTATTGTTGTTGTTGTTAAGTGCTGTTGAGTCAATTCTGACCCATAGCGACCCTGTATAGAGTTTCCAAGGAGCAGCTGGTGAGCTTGAACCACCAACCTCGCAGTTCAAATGGCTTTGCAGTCTGGTGCATTAACCCACAGCACTACACCAGGACTCCAGGACAAGTTTCTATTAACTATACTGAATTGGTACTTTGTGGAAGTACATAGTCCCTGATATAGTAAAGCAAAAAACATAATAACATAATGTAATGCATTCTGTGAGAAACATGCAAAAAAAAGCATTAAAAAGGGATAATTAGTTTTAACTTTTTTTCTAAGATGGGAGATAAAGTATGAGCAGAAATGTTATGAAATGAGTAGATATCCCACAGGTGAGAGAAGTCCAGGTGGATCATTTCAGGCTAAGCAAAGACATGGAGGAAGGAAAGATGGTAAATAGTGACTGGCTTGAGGAGTTTAAGGGTAGGACACGGAACAACAGAGCCCCAGTGACAAAAGCAGAGAATTTGAAATCAAGAGGGTTACAAGGAATACTATTTTGGGAATGTTGTATGACTTTTCTAAAATTTAGGTTTCATATATCAAAGAAAGATACTAATACTTAGTCCAAACAATTGCAGTGAGGATAAAATCATATAAATATATGAAAGCTCCTCACAGAGAATCTGGCATTTAATAGGCATTCAGTAAACTTTTCTGGAATCTCAATGATGTTCAGAGATCTTTAAGAAGCTGGGGTTTGACAGGGTGAGCTTCAGTGGTGCTCAGGAGATTGGACTTCTTGTTTTGCATAAACCATCTTATGTAGGGGAATAGAGAAAAAGAATTAGATAGGGTTCCTAGTCTTGAGATGCATACAATCTAGTTGGAGGAACAAGACTAGAGGGGCAAGCAATATCAAACAATGTACGTTAATGTGTATACATACACACACACATACACAACCACAAGAAGAATCAGTGTAGCAAAGTAAGTAAGAGATCCATATTGTGGATTTTGGAGGCTGACATAACGATTCATTAATTCCATGTCTTAAGCCAGGTTTTCTAGAGAAGCAAAACCAGTGAAACATATATATGAAGGTAAGTTTATTATTTTGCAATTGTAGAGTCTTAGGTCCCCAGCAGAAGAGAGAGAGAGAGAGTCCCTTTTATGTGTCCATTATATTGGGAGCAGACCTTTAATTGATTGGCTGCTGCATAGCTGCTCATTATAGGGTTAAATATGCCTGCATTATGTTTCATCACCATGGGAATAAGCACATCCCAACTACTAAACCTCTGGAAATCCAGGCCTAGTTGAGTTGACACAGAGCCCTAACCATTACAGTCCATGATCTTGAATCAATACCTATCTGTCTCAAAATCTTAGTTTCATCATCTGTAGCATCTATGAAGTAGGAAACTCACAGAGAATTAAAGATAAGTGTTGAGTATAGTATGTGGCATCTAATAGATGTAGCTTTTATTATAATCAAATACTACTTAAATTATTAGAATATACTATAGTTTAATGTGCTTCAGATCATAAGTGCTAGAGGATTGAAAGAAAAATAGTGTATCCTAAATAGGATAAGCCATGAACTAAATGCTAAAAGCTAGGTAATGCTTGTCCAACTGAAGAAGAAAAGAGAGGCAATTTAGAGCAAAGAAAAGAACATACATCTAGTTTAAGACCAAATCGTCAGAATATCTTCATGAGATAAAAAAGACACAGGCCTTATTAAGGTGTGTGTTTGGGTAAACCATGGGAATACAGACTTGTTTCACTCTTTTATACTAAACCTTTACAATAAGTCATCTTCCCTTGTGCTAGTAAAAAGAAACTTTTTGGAATCACATTTTTGGGTCTCATTAAGTTTTTTTGACAGGTTAGTTGCAGTATTTTCCACTTTCTTTAATATGCAGTATAAGTTTCTTAAAAATAAACTACTGATGAACCTTTACATATCAACAAAATAAGTCCATCAGAGAAATATGGATATTTTACAGAAGCTAAAGTTTCTGTAGCTACTTTATTGGTTTTTAGCTACTTCATTTGGATAAATGTTATAAGAAAATGAATATGCATCAAAGTTAAAAGTGTAGGTAAAATTACAGTAGAGCCTATTTTTAAACAGGCAAAGTTTTCTAATGGTATTTACAATAGGTCTTAGTTTTTTCCTGAACCATTTCTTTCTTCCTACGCTCAACACAAGGATGAAATGTGATGTATGGGTGTTCCATCTGTTCATGAAGTAGACTAGACTTCTTGTTTCAGAAATCCTCTTCATCTGAGTAGCTCCCAGTTGTCCGTCTTCTAGTTGGGTTTAGGAACTCAGAGCATGAGAGAAGAACACATCCTTATTATAAACTCCACTGCACCCTTCCCTGTCAGGTCACAGTGGGTTGGTGCCATTTCTCTCCGTGTAACTACCATCTTCAGGTTCCAGGACCCTCTTCTGACGATTGCCGCTTCAGGCCTAGGCATGATAATGGGTCTCCACTATGACAAACATTTGGAAATTAGGTTACTTCTT